TGTCTGTGCTGTCTGAGGGGGCTCGTTAGTGCTTAACTACTCGTTAGTATTAATGAGGAGGCTGTTTATGAGTGTGTTGGGGGGGGTGCTGGATGTTTTTTTTTAACTAATTTCCTGTAGGGTCAGAGGGGTCCTATACACTGAATCTTTATGAGCAGAACCCGTACTGGGAAACACCTTCATTATAGTGCTCGTTCTTTCTCTTTCTTCATAGTATTCATTCATCTCTCCATCCAGCTCCACTGCTCTTGTTTTATTGGTCTGCTTCTGATGGCCTTTCTTTGCTAGTTTCAGACACCATCCGTTAAATTAGGCTTTAAGCAATGGTTTGCTCAAAATTGCTGTAGTGCACTTAAAACATGCCTCTGGTAAAATGTCCCAATGATTTTTGATCATATATACACACACACACACACACACTAGCACACACACACGCACGCACACACACACACACACACACACACACACGCACGCACTTACAATATCTTGTGTCTCTAGACCACAAAATAGTTAACTTGAATTGGAACGTCCCAAGCTAAATTAATAAATGATAATATATGCTGGGATATAATGCTCTCAAAAGTTATTTAGCTGTACCATCAAGGTGGGTATTAGAAAGAGAATTTAACCTTGATATAATCAATAATCAATTGTTTACTATGCCAAAACATAGTTGCAATGTTGACTATTTAAGAAATGTGTCACATGATCCTTCAGAAATCGTTCTAATATTTTTTTTATCAATGTTGAAAACAGTTTAGTTGTGCCGCTTAATATTTTTGTTGAAACCGTGATAAAAAAAGTTTCAGGATTCTTTGATGAATAGAAAATAGAAAATTTATTTGAAATCAAAATCTTTTGTAACATTATAAATGTCTTTACTGTCACTTTTAATGAAATCAATGTGTCTTTACTGTCACTTTTTATTCAATTTCAAAATAAAAGTATTAATTTCTTTTTTTTTTTAAAACTAATCTTACCCACCCCAAACTTTTGAACGGTAGTGGTATGCATATAATTTGCACCGTAAGTACAGTTAACATGAATACATAAAGAGAAAAGTAAAGATTAAGATAAAATCAAAAGCAACTACTTTTGTCAAGGTGTTGTGTTTTGTTGATGAGGCTCGCATCAGCTATTTATTTTCAAAGACATTATTTATTCATACAATAATGAGGGACACAAAAGCCAGCTGTTTTAATTGCACAATTGTTCTAGACTTTGTAAAACGTGTAGTGGGTCTGTTTAATTAAAAACACTATGTAGGTTAAACAGGGGTTGAGGGAACACGCTGATAGATTATCTTCTCAATTAGTTACTGTTCTGAGCTGAAGCCGCTTTACTAATTCCAGATAAGAGAATTAATGGATCACTAGAGACCTCCAGACCGCCTCTCTGTGAAATAACCAGTGCATCTGAATATTACAGCTCATATGTTAGCAAAACACTCGCACTGGATATTTCTTTATTAACCCTATAAAGCCCACTGCATCATATTTGATATGCACATTTCTAAGTCCTCCAAATGATCCACATGATCAAAACTGCTGGAAACTCTGAAAAATCGGATTTATACTTTATACAAATCAGTAAAGAAATCCATTCAAATAGATTTTTCAGACTGTTATATTATATGTTAAGCTTTACAGTATTATAAGTCTTTGATTTTAAAATGTGTTTTTTCCCTCAGGTTAAGCCAAATATGAAGCAAGCAGTGTCACGTGAGTATCACACAGTATAGGACATCTATAGGTGGGCTGCTTTGTTCACTTTGAATATTTGATTTGATCTTTTTTCAGGTGTGGCGTCACCATGCAAACACTTTCTGCTGACATCACCACAAAGACAATGACCTCTGAACCCATGCTCAGCCAATCAGAGAGAGTTCAGGGATTTGGCTGGGATGTGGCTTCCTGTGGATTGCTTGAGAAGGAACATGTTTTGTTGGTTTTCAATGTTTTTTACTCTTCTTTTTTGTTTTTGTGATGCAGATTTAAGGGGTTTATGTTGCAGACCTGCTAGTTTGACTAGTTATTCTCATTTGAATTTTGTAGCTGATTTTGTTAGTTTGTGAGTTTGAAAGCTTTTGAGAAACTGATGCACCCAAAGACTATCGAGAACGGGACAGAATGGACCGAGTTGGAAACGGAATGGAACGGAACGCAATAGAATGTGATTCATGATTAAAGGACAAGCATGATGAGTTGATGATTGGCTGGCTGAGGTATGTGGGCGTGGTTTGTGGGATGTGGGCGTGGCCATGTTGATTTCGAGAACGCAGTTGCTGCAGATGTCGTAAAAACGACCTTCTAAAGGAACTAAATTAAAGGGTCGAGCTGTACTGTAATTTATTTTTGATTCACTTTTTTTATTTATTTTCATTAGACAAACAGCATTTCAGAAGCCTTTCAATGTACATTTGAGGGAATATTTTGGTAATGTCAAATAATCGATTTCAGATTTCCGATTCAGCGTTTATGTATATTTAAGATCAGAATGATTTAGTTTTATAGATTTTTAAACAGGTACTTTGATAAAGAGGCAGATTACTTTCTGTGCTCCTTGTACTGGAGAGTTTTACCCATTATTTTTATCGTTTTTTCCAGAGGCACTGTTTTTGGCCAATATTTCCTGTGAACAAACAAACATTTCTTTACCTACAAACATATGCACACACACGACTGACCTGCTGTGTGTTTTTCTGGAGGTGTGTGTGTGTATTTGTGTGGGATGTTTGCCTCTAATAGTCGTGTGTGTTTGTGCAAAGCTGGAATGTGAATCATATTGATGCCTTCATTTCGTTTTATTCTTGAATACCTGCCAAAAATGACATGTTGATTTAGTGTTTTTGAAGTTTTCCATCTTATTTACTCTTATAAAAAATTTGCTGTTGTTTTTCGCGCCAAATTCATTCATGGACGTTGATAGTCCTCTTCGTCATGTGATTCTACCTGCAGTACACGGGGCTTCATGACATCACTTCCTGTGCCCTTCGGGTCAAGAGCTCTTCTGTGAAAACTGTCTGGTTTGGCCGAGATTATCATTACGGTGCCGGTAGCCGTAGTGTTTCGCTATTTCAACCGAACAACTCTTTCCTATATATTTTTAAAAAAAAGCTAATTTTACAGAAATAACTCTGGAATGAAGCCGAGATTCACACATGTGATTTCAAGTGATGATTTGTTGTTTTCAAATTAAATATTATTAAAAATAAGTTTTGACTGGAGTATTGTTTCTTTCTATCTGAAGTTTTTCTCTCTTTAACTTTCTATTTGTTTCTTTAATTGTGTATGCTTGGTTTTCCTTCAGGTCCCATACAGGCCCAAAGCTTTCTGGGTAATATGATGCTCTCAGCGATTGCGGCCGCATTTACACTTCTGTGCACTAAAACATGTACTTTGCTGGTGATGGGACTGTATATATTTTTGTGTGTATAGTATTAGTTGCACAGAATGCCAGGCTCCACTTGCTTCACTGTTTGTATGATTTTCTCTGCACTTTTAGTCCTATAAGTGTGTTTGGAGATGAGAGCTGCAAACTCCTCTCTCTGAGTACCTGTGTGACAGACAGAGAGAGAGACAGTCGGACGGTCTCTGTGCACTGCCAGCGTGAGCAGGCGTGACGTGGGGTGAATTTTAATGAGAGCAGCTTGAACAGACGTACTCTGAGGGAAATATGTGTGTGTAACAGAGTTAGACGATGCATGGATTCACTCAAGGACACGATCCCTCACCAGTCTCACTGTCTGTGGCTGTCTCTTATGCTGTATTACAGTTACATTATGACACGTCCCATAAAACAAAAACTTATATATATATATATACACATACATACATACAAACGCGCAGCCTTTTGAATGGTAATGTATCACTGTTTTATATATATATATACTTATTACACACACAGTGTTGGCTAAGTTACTCTAAAAACTAATTAATTATAAGCTACTAATTAGTACATCTTCAACTGTGTAATTAATTAGAGTACTGTACTAATTGTTCTCTCTAAAAAGTGTTGGATTACTCATTACTAATTGCATTCTAAGTCCCATAACAACCTCGACCAGTTGAACAATAAAAAGATAGACATGAAACTGCACTTTTGATTCTTTCAATTAAACTATATACTGTACAATTGTGTAAATTATTCTTGAACTGACCGAGAGAGAGAGAGAAGGTTACATTAAAAACATACATTATAACATTAAAATTTGATGTTAAATCCACTATTGTTTTATACAGAATTTTTGTATTGTCTATACAGTATTCCATGCAATTACATCAGAAGTAACTGTAATTTTCCAAGTTATCCCTTACTTTACTTTTTTTACAAAGATATATTTTTATAAAAATGAAGTTTCAGGACTGCATTTCCAGGACACCAGGATTTCCTGCATTTCCAGGGTTTTTTTTATGTATTTGGCAGTTCATACCATTTTATTACTATTTCATAGCACTTACAATTCTGTATTTATATTATTATTTGTTAAAAATTAATTTATTGGCAGTTTATAGCATTTTATAGCACTTGCTGTTTTATAGCACTTACAATTATGTATTTTTAAGTGATACATTGTTTTAACCAACCCATAACCCTAAACATACCGTTGGTGACCCTCTTGAAATAGTTAACCTAATTTGTTTCATTGTATGAGCTGCGGTCCTGAAACTTCAGCCTCCGGTATTGCAGGAATATAATATTTGGATTGGGATATTCCCTGTAATCACCAGCATAAGGGACCTTGACTGACCCTATGCGGTGTTCCCCTCACAGCCTTATGAGCCAAATATATATTACCTACTGGGAAACCAGGCCGTAGTAACCAACGTGTAAGAAAAACAAAAACATATGACAGACATGAGTAACCAAGCTATGTCAGATGATTAAACAAATTTATAATGCTTTAAATCTCGCATTTTATCGATCTCATTAGTGTGTGTGAGGACTGTGACGTCACTGCGACCCAACAAAACGGTCTCTAGGACCCAGCGAACTCTTTCCCGCTGACGGGCCTCTGCGGCGTCTGAGAGCCCGAGACGCCGGAGACCGGAGAGGAGAAGGCCGGTGCCGGGGAGGGTCAGGACGGGGAGAGACGCGGAGGGAAGACGGGCAGTTCGCGACCACCGGGGGGTTCAGGCCCGGGGCATGCATGGCGAAACGGGTAAATCACACATGTACACACACACACATACACACACCGAGCTTCTGTCCGACATATGAGGATGATGATGATGATGACGATGAAGAAGGTGGTGGTGGTGAAGATGATGAATTCAAATCTGCGCAGATGTGCGTTTTAAAATCCAGCAGCTGCTGCTTAAAAATAGCTTTTCTTCTATCCGCACGCTGAAGTTCATTTGACATGTTAATTCAGTTCATTTCGCTTTAGGGAAATGAATGTGTGAATGACGCGAGCAGAAGTCTGTCGACCGGCGTTATACATGATCATCAGCATTTAATACATTATTAATCAATAACTTTGACTTTAGCTCAACTTAGACTTTTCCTTTTATGTGAGAAATGAAGTTTAAAAAGGAAGACAAAGCTGTTCTGGTTGATCTTGAGATGTTAATTATGTGAGGCCTCTTTCAGGATTATATTTGTGCAAATATTAGCCTATATATAGTAATATTGTTTTACTCAATGGTTTTTGATGTTGTTGTATAGGCTATTTTAAAAATCCTAAAGCCTATATTAAGATAAATTGAAAGCTCTAACCAATCTGACCTATTAGTATATTAAAGCTCATCATGTCTCTAATTGACAGCAATAAAATATGCGTTCTTGAGGTTTTTTGTGGTTATTCATGAAGGCCTGTGTCAGGTGTCATGAGTTTCACTGGCTGTCTGGACTGTGAATCAATCAGGTCTCAGTTTTGATCACACAGTCATGCATCTTCTTAAAATTCAAAAATCAAAACCAAAAAGATTTTACAGTAAAAGGAACCTCTTAAAGTTCCTCAATAGCCTAACAATTTCATTAAAATTGAGTATACTGGTGCTTTATAACCCCTGATCCAAAGAACCTACAAGTTTGTGTAGCCTAGTCTCCAAAGAATGAAATAGGCTATCATGTTTTTTGATGCTGTGCTGAACCTGAAGTTTGTGGCAAAGAACGTTTATTTGTGTATTTATGATTGTACACATTAATAGGCCTTTGAAACTGACTAATTTGTTCCACTTACTCATTGTTTAACATCAGAAACGCCCTATTGTGTGTCAGATAGATCTATCATGTTGAGGCTGTTTCCTTTTCCCAATGGTTCATTGTGTGTTTAAAAATACTTAAGTTGTATGCCATTAATTAATCAAATCTAGCAAAGGTCACAATGTAGACCTAGTTATCAAAAAAGATGATTAGGCTTGTGTTACATCACTCTAAAAAATGCTGGATGTCAAATATGGACAAAACAAACCGTTGAATACAAAAATTGAATACAAAAATGTAAATCAAGGTTTGTCCATATTTGACCCAAACATTGAAACAACCCAGCGTTTTTTTTACAGTGATGTATTTACATTTCGTGATATTTATATAAACTGACTAAATTCTGTCAACTAATGATTTGTCAAGCATTACTATATAATCTAGTAGCCTAATGTTAGTTCTTAATAATATTTATTTTAAAGATTTCCTCAATAGTGTTGACAGACAGTCTGAAAATGAGTCTGTTGAAAACACTTGTTGTGAAAGGCTTCGACACAACATCAGGAAAGTTCAAGCAGTCAAATAAAAGAGTGTGTTTTGATGAAGAGCGAATCCTGTTTAATTTTATAATCCCATTTTACATTTACATGTTGTTATGGCAGTTTTGTGTTCAGAGTTTCTTCCAAATTTCTCAACAAACCCAAATTTCAGAAGATTACAGGAAAGTCATTTCGCTCTTCATCAGTAAAAGCTCCTCATCTAACTGCTCTCCTGATATATCAGAGGTTTTTGAATGAGATTATGTGAAAGTTAATGAGATGTTATATAAAATGAGAGAGCCGCCGACGTTTTTCCCCCAGAGCGTCACGCGCGTTTTGACGCGACGCGTCCGACTGGCAGAGATTCAAACACCCGCCATGTTACTGACTCTCCACATTAAACCACAAACTGGCTGCTGTTTGTCTTCTGTGGACACAAATGATATCTTTTTTACTCACTATCGTGATGTGAAAATATGGGAAACATTATAGACACGCGTCTCCACTTGTGCTGTTATAAAATGTGCCGCTTTTATAGACCTATAACCAGATAAATATTTCATACAATCATACACTATTTGTGTATAAATATAAATTTTTCCTCCATAAATTAATACGGTGTTTGTTCTGTTTGGTTTTGCAGGGAGAAGAAGGATTTGATGGTCTGAAGGTGGATCAGTTTCATCGCCACAAAAGTCTCTCAGCATTTTAATGTATTTTATTTCATTTGCGTTGATTTCAAATGCATCGATCAGGCCTGTAGTGTGTTTTTGTTTCATCATGCCTCTCGATCTGGACTGTGACGCAGCGACGAATAAAACGGTAAGCGAGAAAGGCTAACGTTACTTATTTCGTCACTAGTTTGATCTGTTTTTGAGTGTCTGTGTGTGTGTGTGTGTGTGTGCGGGGGATCCGTGCGGAAGCCGCCAGGCACGGGCATAAAGCGAGAAGAAAAACCAGGCTGCGAGTAAAACACAAGTCTATGCGGTATAAAAGACAACAATAGTTCGCTCCAGTTATAAACAATGAAGCGCGCTCTTACTACGCAGTTTTGTTAATCCGACTTCGTGCATTATGACGGATCGCTCTACTTTTGTCGTGTCATATGGTGACAATGACATCATAAATGCTGTTTTAGTAGGCTATAAACTAAACGACGCTTGAAAATAGGTTTAAAGGAACGAACATGAGAAAATAATTGTCTCTATTCATAACGGATGAATGAGAAAATGCTTTCTCATTTCTGTGTAAAAGTTAGCTACTTAGGCTATATCTATATCTCTATGAGTTTATAGCCTATAAATAAATTAAATGAAGCTCTCTTCCTTCCAGAATATTAGGGTATATGCACTTGCTTTTATCGCGTGTAGAAGCGACAAAACGAGGACGTTCCCTTTATAATCAACTAAGCGTTTGTCCGTTATAACCATATAGACTGTAAAAAAAAATTGTTATAATGGAGTGTTTTTATAGAAGCTTTTTTCCTCCACAAAATCTCTCACAATTCTGAATTAGATGTAAACTCGCAATTGCGAGAAAAAAAGTCAGAATTGTGAGATATAAAACTCGCCTTTTTTATTTTGTGGAGGAAAAAAGCTTCCATAAAAACACTCCATTATAATTTTTTATTTTTTTTTACAGTCTAAGGGATAGTTCACCCAAAAAATGTAAATTCTGTCATCATTTACTCACCCTCATGTCATTCCAAACCCGTAAGACTTTCGCTCATCTTCGTAACAAAAATGAAGATCTTTTTATTTTAGCCTTTTATACACATATAAACATTGATCAGCGAGCATAAACAGAAGCTCAACCGAACTGGCTTGACGCGCAAGAACAAACCTCTTGCGGAAGATCAGACGGGATGCGTAACATGAGAATGAACCTCATTGGTTCTCGCACGTCAAGCGAACATGATTGAGCTTCCGTTTAGTGTTGTGTGAGTTGATGAATGTTTATATGTGAACAAAAGCCTAAATTCAATGGTTTTTTTTCATCATATAAGGTGATCGTGTCTCTTTAAAAAATTTGGACTAAATCACTCAATTCATATGGATTAGTTTTACGACCTCTTTATGAACTTTTTGGAGCTACAAAGTGGTAGTTGCGTAGCTGTCAATGGAGGGACAGAAAGCTCTCAGATTTCATTAAAATGTCTTCATTTCTGTTCCGAATATCTTACGGTTTTGGAACGACTTGAGGATGAGTAAATGATGACAGAATTTTCATTTTTAGGTGAACTAGCGAACCTCTAAGTAAATTAGATGAATAACTTTTTCCAGAGCATCACGATTACTAAAAGCTAATTAGTACTAATATACTAATAGCTACACAATCTCGCCTACTTCCATACTATATAGTAGGCGAAAAACAGTATGTGAGCCAATAGTATATGTCCGAATTCGTAGTAGGCTAAAAAAGTATGCGAAAAGTACTCCGATGACCCACTGCTTTCGGCGAGATTATGAAGTGCACATCAACTGTACATGTTATTATCCCAAAACTGTACGTTCACACCGCCGCCAACTTGAGCTTCCAAAGCGGCCGGAAGTCATTCATTTTCAATGGAAGCTGGCTTTTCTCAGCTGCAAGGAGCGTCAAATCCATCGGCGTCGCGTTTTGAGCGTCAATCAGAAAGTTGAAAGAAGCTCAACTTTATGGTAATGAGCTATGACGCGGTTCAGCGGGAAGCAGCGGCAAAACGCCAGCAACCAACCGGAATATAGACGTCCTTCGCGCTGGCTGATTCCGGAGAAACATACAATGTAAACTTTCGTTCCTACCAAAACATTAGTTCCGAGAAAATGGAAGAGAAGCTAATAATCGCCGTTGCTGGGTTTCCTATCATTTATGACATGACGTTATATAGGGAGCGCATGAGCGCAACTTTTATTTGAAATATTTCCGAACGGTCATTCTAAAGCGGGAATGCAATTCATTTGCTCACGGTGACACCGATTTGACCGCAAATAATAATAATAATAGCTAACTATTCTTTTTTCCCCGACCAAATGTGACCAAAACGGTTATAAAAATGCTGTCATTATAAAAGGTTTCTTCAATGTATTGCTAGTTTTTTTTCTGTTTATTACATTTTATGTTGTGACACTTCTATTCTCCCTGCAACGTCAGAGCGTTCAAAGCGTCCAAAGCGTCAACAAGCTTCCCCGTACTTTTTGACAAGCGTCCTTGACAGGGCGGCCAGAGCATCTTTGACGCTCAAGTCGGCGGCGGTGTGAACGTACAGTAAGGCCACAGGAGAGGATTTATGAATGGCAGTGAAGCAACACAACTGACGCTGTAGGTCACGTGACAGTGACAACATGGCGAATGTAGTACGTCCACATTTCATTCCATAAAGATTTCGAAACCAAATGTAGTGCCTGGGGTTCAGTCTGCAATTTCAGACGCCGCGTTAGTGTCGTACATTGCAATGCATACTTCATCTTAGAATGCAGCATTCTCACCATTGCCACAAGCTGAGACCAAAATTAGCTTAAATTAGCATAGTGTTTATTTACAGTTATTTTTCAGATCGCACTTTTATCAGGCTTTCCACAATTTATATCCATTACATCTGTGCTTGCATGATAGTTTTTAGCCTAAAAGCGACAAAAACAGTAAAGCTGATAAGATATATTGACAAAATATATGTTACTCAACTCAGCTGTACCTTAAGGTTTAAGGAAAGTATGTAATTCTAGTTGGAATAATGTAATGTTATTGCTTTTAACTTGAAGTTATTATAGCATTTTCTATTGTTATACCCACGCAGAGCCACAGAACTAACAGATCTAAACTAATGAAATCTCACCCCTGAGCTAGTCGATAGCTGAAATGGCCCATCTTTGGAATCAGCAGGCGAATAACCACATAAATGATTAGGGAAACTCATTAAAATCACTGATGAACATTAACCTGGGACCCATCAGAGATTTAACAGTCCCACTGACCTCAGGAATCTGGAGAGAACCACTGCAGTGTCATTGAGGTTACGACTGTGGGTGTGTAGGAACGCTCTTCATTTTCCCGCTCCGCTCCTCGTACAGTTTAATGGCCGTTCAGTTGTTATAAATCTGTTTTCAGCTGTTGGAGTCTCAGTAGTTTATGTTTGCTGGCCTTACAGTGGTCAGAAAGCCTTGCCTAACTGATTTATGTGGCTTGGAGTCATGTGAGGTGAAGCGTGTGCTAGACTTTCATGCCACATTGAAGGTGAAATTGTATTAGAGTGTTTTTTGTGTAGTCAGTTTACACCTAAATTTAGACGACAGTGAGTTTGTGACAGAACAGACTGATGATGTTTTGAACTATTACCACCTTATGTTTACTGAACGAAGCTTGTTTTTTACAGTGTGATGTGATTGGGGGGTGAACTGGTGTTCTGCCCCATTTTCATTGGTTTTCATTAACTTTGCAACTTTGGTCTGTTGAACAGGTGAATCAGTTACTAGAGCTTTAGTAATCAATCTTGAACAGAGCAAAAGTTGTGTTTGAGATCATGGGTGTGTGTGTGTGTTGTGTGGTGTATTTTATAGCTTTGCTCATTCAGATGTCCTCTGTGAACCCGGCTGAAGGTATTTATTGGCTGATATAGTATTTATGGCAGCGATCAGATAGTGTTTGCTTTGGCAGAGAAAATCGACCCGTTTAAAAGCGAGTGCTTGCATAGGAGCGCACAAACATTCAGTGTATGTCCTCAATATGCTTTATGTGGTCACACTTTAGTTTAGGGTTCAATTCTCACTATTACAGTTTTTCTCAGTTGTTTACACACATTTTCTGAAAGCATGCCTCATACTCTCAGAACTCTACACACAAATCAAAAAACACACACACAATGGGAAACACCCCTCAATTCTCCTGCAAAATGAAACTTTACTTTCAAAACAATGTTATTTCTTCTCAAAATGGTATTTTGTTTTCAAATGACACACGCAAACCATCATATGAATAGACATTTATAAGAACCAGTTGAACACTGCTGTGCTCAATGTAAAACACTGTGATGAATGGAAAACACTTCTTCTCCATTCGTCATAATGACTTAGGCCTTTGTTTTGTTCAGTGTTACACTTACGTACAGACAGTACATACATAAGTGTGTTGTAAAATATTTGAGAATATTGTTTTTATATTCAGAAGACACAAATACACAGTAACAAATATATTTTACAGTATTTTCCCCACAAAAACAATGCAGTGTACATCCCAACCAACACAAAGTTGCGCATACAGTGGTCTACACATACAAAACAACAGAAAGATTTACTGTATACAGTTTCAGTAAAAAAAACCTATGCTGTTTTGGTCTTTTATGCTAAAGCTCTGATTGCTAATTGTAAAACTGTGTGACAGGTGTTTGTCCATGTGATGAGTCAGTGTGCATATTTGAATGGCAGTGTGTTCCTTGTGAAAACAAGAGATTTTCTACATGAAAATTGTGCCAAATGCAGAGAATTGTGTGTAGTGTTTTGAAAAAAGTGTGTTTTATAACTGCAATTTGAGTGTAAAGCAGGAATTGTGCTTGTAGTTTAGCAGAATTGGTTCAGGGGGTTGGTGCATGAGTTACATGTTGTGGTCATTGTGTCTCAAGTACCCGTATTTGTGTGTAAACAATTGAGAAAAACTGTAACTAACTAATTTAATTACGACTTTTGCCTCAATAAACTCCTAATTACTGCTTATTAATAGTTAGTATTGGGTGGATTAAGGGATGTAGAATATTGTCATGCAGAATAAGACATTAATATGTGCTTTACTAATAAACAGCCTATATCCTAGTAATAAGCATTCTAATAAGCAACTTAATAGTGAGAATTGGACCCTAAACTAAAGTGTGAGCCTCAGTATGAATTCCTATTGGTTGTTATAGATTTTCTTGGTGTTTTTGTGAATGGTAATAATCGCAAACTGTTAAAATGAGAATTTGACAAGGAAACATCAGGATTTGGATACATGGAAATGCCCTGACCTTTTTATATGTTGGTCATTGAACATTGTGGAATTATTTTTAATGATGATGCTTTTTATTATAACTGTATAAATATGATATATAGTTTTAAATTGATTTTGCCATCTGTACATTCTTAAAAATAAAGGTTCTTAATTGGCATCTATAGTTCCACGAAGAACCTTTAACATCCATGGAACTTTTCCATTGCCAAAAGGCTCTTTATAGTGGAAAAAGGTTCTTTACAAATAGTTCTTTTAAGAATGGTCCCCTGTAAGGTTCTCTGGGGAACCCAGAATGGTTCTTCAATGGCATCGCTTTGAAAACCCTCTTTTGGAACCTTTATAGGATAGTAGGATAGGGTGCAGGTGTGTTTTCTTCAGTCATTTCAGCTTATGTGTGTGTAAGTCTGTAATACTCAAGCTAGAGATGGAGAGTGGACTATGTGGAAGGAAGAGAGAGAGAGAGAGAGAGAGAGAGAGAGAGGTGCAGGACCCAACAGACTCGTTCCACCGGGGAACTTCCTCCTGTCCTCGGCCCAGTCTCGTTGCTTGGCAACAGCAGTGGCCCAGAATAACCTGCTGATGACCGAAATAATCTGGAGATGACAAAACCAGACACAAAATGTCTCCTGTGCTCTGATGATCTGATGTAATATTCTACTATACTGTCATGTGGTTTATACTGTAGTTCTCTAATAATACAAGCAACAATTATAACCTATTATTCTATTAGTACAATTAATACCACATTTTGTTTTATACGATTATAAAGGACTGAAGGACTGCAATAAATCATACAATAGGTAATTATGATCTATTTCAGTGATATTTCATGAGATAAAGTACATCACATCATATAAGATCATCTCATGATATAAGTGTTCAATCCATCATTCATCCATCTGTTTATCTATCTATCCATCATTCATCCATCTGTTTATCTATCCATCTGTTTATCTATCTATCATTCATCCATCTGTTTATCTATCATCCATCTGTTTATCTATCTATCCATCATTCATCCATCTGTTTATCTATCTATCATCCATCTGTTTATCTATCTATCCATCATTCATCCATCTGTTTATCTATCTATCCATCTGTTTATCTATCCATCATTCATCCATCTGTTTATCTATCTATCCATCTGTTTATCTATCCATCATTCATCCATCTGTTTATCTATCCATCTGTTTATCTATCCATCATTCATCCATCTGTTTATCTATCTATCATCCATCTGTTTATCTATCTATCCAGCCATCTGTTTATCTATCTATCTATCTATCTATCTATCTATCTATCTATCCATCCATCCATCCATCCATCTATCCATCCATCTGTTTATCTATCCTTCCATCCATTCATCCATCCATCTGTTTATATTGCTATCATCCATCCATCTGTTTATCTATCCATCCATCCATCTGTTTATACTGCTATCATCCATCCACCTCTCTCTCCATCCATCCATCATCCATCAATCTGTTTATATTGCTATCTATCTGTCCATCCATCTATCTATCTATCTATCTATCCATCCATTCATCCATCCATCTGTTTATATTGCTATCATCCATCCATCTGTTTATCTATCCATCCATCCATCCATCTGTGTATCTATAATCTATTCATCCATTCATCCATCTGTTTATCCATCCATCCATCCATCCATCCATCCATCCATCCATTTATCCATCTGATTATCTATGATCTATCCATCCATTCATCCATCTGTTTATCTATCCATCCATCAGTTTATCTATCCATCCATCCATCTGTTTATCTATCCATCCATCTGTTTATCTATCCATCCATCTGTTTATCTATCCATCCATCCATCTGTTTATCTGTCTATGCAGCCATCTGTTTATCTATGATCCATCCATCCATCCATTCATCCATCTGTTTATCTATACATCCATCCATCCATCCATCGGTTTATCTATGATCTATCCATCCATTCATCCATCTGTTTATCCATCTATCCATCCATTCATCCATCCATCTGTTTATCTATCCATCCATCCATCTGTTTATCTATATATTCATCATCCATCCATCTGGTTATTTATCCATTCATCCATCATCCATCAATCTGTTTATATTGCTATCTATCCATCCATCCATCTGTTTATCTATGCAGCCATCTGTTTATCTATGACCTATCCATTCATTCCTCCATCTGTTTATCTATACATCCATCCATCCATCGGTTTATCTATGATCTATCCATCCATTCATCCATCTGTTCATCCATCTATCTATCCATCCATTCATCTATCCATCTGTTTATCTATCCATCCATCTGTTTATACTGCTATCATCCATCCACCTCTCTCTCCATCCATCCATCATCCATCAATCTGTTTATATTGCTATCTATCTGTCCATCTATCTATCTATCTATCTGTCTGTCTGTCTGTCTGTCTGTCTGTCTGTCTGTCTGTCTGTCTATCTTTCTGTCTGTCTATAGTAAAAACCACTTTTGTAACATAAGTACAAAAGAAATAATTTCAGACATGAAAACAGTTATTCCCTTTTGATTGAGGCTGAAGTTTTTGATTGGTCTAATATGAAGCAACACAGAGTAAGAGTTCACATCATGTTTACTGGTGGATAGTTTGGGGTTTTCATATCTCTGATGGGCTTGAGGTTAATGTTTAATGACTATTAACATCCATTCACTCATTTGTAGAAACACTCCCCTGGTGACCCTTGACCTTTGGGGACTGATCAAACTTCATGTTGTTTCAATGGTTACGACAGAACGATTTATGAGAGAGACAGGAGAGTTCATGAATTATATCTGCACACTGTGTGTTGTGGTTTCATGGTTGTGTGTGTTAGGACTAGTGGATAAATAACATTAGTGGGCACATGGTTGCCGGGATTGTTGCCAGGGAAATGACCTCATGGTTTTGTTCAGGAGAGCAGCATCATGACCTCCTGGAGACAGTTGCTAAGCAGTTTTCACCTTAGTAACCGCTGCCTCTCTCTCTCATCTGACTGGATCCCCACTGAGAGAGTCCAGACGGATCATCTGTGTGCGTGTGTGTGTGTGTGTGTGAATCTGAAAATTTTTATATTAAGTCCTTAAAAGTATTTTTTATAATATGTATCAAAGTCCTTAATATTACTTTTTTTGTTATTTCATTTTTTATTACATTTTAATTAATTGTATTATATTTTTTTTCATAAAATAATATTATTATTTTTCCTAAAATATGAATTTTTCCATAATATTATTTTATTTAATTGTATAAAATGTTATTAGGAAATAGCAACTTATTTTAATTTATATTGAAATAATAAATAAAATAATTTAATTCTATTTAATTTTATTGACTTCTTGTCATTGTTTACTTAACAGGTGTTTGCTAAAACAATCATCGTTGTTGCCGCTACTCAATATTTGTGGGAAATATATTTTATAGAGAATACCTTCTCAAAGTATAAAGCAATTGAGCCAGTGTTACTGACGAAAGAGAAAGAAAGAGTGTGTGTTTGCGTGTGAGAGAGAGAGAGAGAGAGAGAGAGAGAGAGAGAGAGAGAGAGAGAGAGAGAGAGAGAGAGAGAGAGAGAGAGAGAGAGAGAGAGAGAGAGAGAGAGAGAGAGAGAGAGAGAGAGAGAGAGAGAGAGAGAGAGAGAGAGAGAGAGAGAGAGAGAGAGAGAGAGAGAGAGAGAGAGAGAGAGAGAGAGAGAGAGTGTGTGTTTGTTGTAGTGCTGACATGTTTGTGTGTTTGTTTGTTTTAGAGTCCAGAGGCAGAACAGGAAGTGTGTGAGGTCACACATGAAGACAGAGTGACGGACACACCAACACGAAGAGTCGGACGACCCGCTCGAAAACGCAAAACACCAGGAGTGAGTACATGTGCACATATGCACAACCCTGGCACTCAACATTAACACAACGTGTGTTCTGTGGATGAAGCCGCATGCTCATCGCCTTGTCTTCTGAATGGCAGTGATTCAGTGAGCTGATTTGAATGTCTGTGAGCCATGACTGAAAAACGAGCAGCTGATCAAATACTGCATGAGACTCCAGTTCAGCCCTGTGCGTCTGTGCGCTCGGTGTGTTGATTTAAAGGGACAGTTCACCCAAAAATTACAATTCTGTCATCATTTACTCACCCTCATTCCAAACAGACATGTTGTTATTTTTTCATCGGAGAAATTTTGATGAGTCTTTACAGAGCTGTTTTCCAGAGACTAGCGCTCTAATTTACAAAGCATTATGAAATTCCTTACTTACAGTTTGTGATGTAGCTGCTGTTATATCTTGAGTTGTTTCTTAAACATCAAACCAGCATATTAGAGTGATTTCTGAAGGATCATGTGACACTGATCATGTGACACTGAACACTGGAGTTATGATGCTGAAAATTCAGCTTTGCATCACAGGAATAAATTACATTTTACAATACATTCATATAAAAAATGGCTATTTTAATTTGTAATAATATTTCACAATTTTCCTGTTTTTCTCATATTTTTGATCAAATAAATGCAGCCTTGGTGTGCAGAAGAGACTTCTTTCAAAAACATTACAATTATATTACCAACCTCAAACTTTTAAACGGTAGGATGTGCAACAGTTGCAATTCATAGTGACCACATCTAGGGCATGAGTCATTTTGAGTAATCTTATGATGTTTTTTATGTCCTTTTTGGAGCTTGAAAGTTGCTGTCACTATGAATTGCCATTGTATAGAAATTTGAGTTGCGTGACTTGCTTCTACGGTGTGTTTTTAGTTCTCACCAGCATCTGTCCCCATTCACTTTCATTAAAAAAATCTTTTAAACTCCTTTTGTCTTATCACGGAAAAAAGCAAGTCATGTAGGTTTGCAATGATATGACGGTGAATAAATGGTGACATATTTTCCAGTTCTTGGCTCAACTATTCCTTTAATGGAAAGGCTACTGTAGTTGGGAGGCGACCAGAGACACACATCATCTGTTTGACTGTAAAAATGACTACATGTAGTAGTTCATTCAGATGATGATCCTAATTTCTGCAGTTAGACTAGAGGTCTGCACGGGCTTTAAACTGAAGCCCGAACCCGGCCCGTACCCGCGATCATTTAACCCGACCCGACCCGACAATTACATTTACATATTAAGCCCGAACCCGACCCGAACCCGAGGTCCATTCTGTTTCTCACAGCAAATACCATTTTTTCACGTCTGCTGTCTGTCTGTATTGTGACTGAAATAGCGCGCGAGAGCGGTAGCACATGCGCAAAACAGTTTTATGATATAAATGATATGATAAAATAAAACAAATAATTTATAAAAATTATATTTATATATATATATATATATATACACTCACCGGCCACTTTATTAGGTACACCTGTCCAACTGCTCGTTAACACTTAATTTCTAAGCAGCCAATCACATGGCGGCAACTCAGTGCATTTAGGCATGTAGACATGGTCAAGACAATCTCCTGCAGTTCAAACCGAGCATCAGTATGGGGAAGAAAGTTGATTTGAGTGACTTTGAACGTGGCATGATTGTTGGTGCCAGAAGGGCTGGTCTGAGTATTTCAGAAACTGCTAATCTACTGGGATTTTCACGCACAACCATCTCTAGGGTTTACAGAGAATGGTCCGAAAAAGAAAAAACATCCAGTGAGCGGCAGTTCTGTGGGCGGAAATGCCTTGTTGATGCCAGAGGTCAGAGGAGAATGGCCAGACTGGTTCGAGCTGATAGAAGGGCAACAGTGACTGAAATAACCACTCGTTACAACCGAGGTATGCAGCAAAGCATTTGTGAAGCCACAACACGCACAACCTTGAGGCGGATGGGCTACAACAGCAGAAGACTCCACCGGGTACCACTCATCTCCACTACAAATAAGAAAAAGAGGCTACAATTTGCAAGAGCTCACCAAAATTGAACAGTTGAAGACTGGAAAAATGTTGCCTGGTCTGATGAGTCTCGATTTCTGTTGAGACATTCAGATTTTAGAGTCAGAATTTGGCGTAAACAGAATGAGAACATGGAACCATCATGCCTTGTTACCACTGTGCAGGCTGGTGGTGGTGGTGTAATGGTGTGGGGGATGTTTTCCTGGCACACTTTAGGCCCCTTAGTGCCAATTGGGCATCGATTAAATGCCACGGCCTACCTGAGCATTGTTTCTGACCATGTCCATCCCTTTATGGCCACCATGTACCCATCCTCTGATGGCTACTTCCACCATGTCACAAAGCTCTAATCATTTCAAATTGGTTTCTTGAACATGACAATGAGTTCACTGTACTAAAATGGCCTCCACAGTCACCAGATCTCAACCCAATAGAGCATCTTTGGGATGTGGTGGAACGGGAGATTCGCATCATGGATGTGCAGCCGACAAATCTGCGGCAACTGTGTGATGCCATCATGTCAATATGGACCAAACTCCCTGAGGAATGCTTCCAGCACCTTGTTGAATCTATGCCACGAAGAATTGAGGCAGTTCTGAAGGCAAAAGGGGGTCCAACCCGTTACTAGCATGGGGTACCTAATAAAGTGGCCGGTGAGTGTATATATATATATATATCATTATCATTATATTTGAGAGAGAGAGCCTGTGTGTATGCAGATATTGCACATCTGCGCACGTATGTAGCCTACTTTCTCTCTCTCGCGTGCCGGTTACCACAGCAAGCAGGCAAAGCACACGGCACGCAAACTATATATAGCCTATTTACATAGGTGTCATTTACACTGGGGACGCTGGGGACATGTCCCCACCACTTTTTGAAATGGCTGATTTTGTCCCCACCACTTTTTGAAAGCATTTGGTTAAAATGTTCTGAAAAATCAAGCGAACCAAGAAATGTTAAAGGGGTGGTTGATTATGATTTCACTTTTCTAACTTTAGTTAGTGTGTAATGTTGCTGTTTGAGCATAAACAACATCTGCAAAGTTACAACGCTCAAAGTTCAAAGCAAAGGGAGAGATTTGCTTTTAAAGAAATCGCTTTTTAAGGACTACAACAAACGGCTGGTAGAACTACACGAGCTTCCTCCCGGGTTAGTGACATCACACACACCCTAAGATTTACATAAACCCCGCCCCCGGAACACGATTTATAGATTATCAAGACAGAATATGCTAATCAATGACTAGAAGATAACTACACATCAGCTACATAAACTCATCAACTAAACATTCAGAAATGTCCTGTTGCTTCTACATGTTGTCACTTCTTCTTGAGTCTCTCCATTATTGTCTGACTCCGGTTTGAACATAAACATTGATATTTTCAGTGCATGTCTGTGAGGTAAAAGGACACAAGCTGTTGAAGCTCCGCCCCCTGTGCCGGGAGCAGCAGCTCATTTGCATTTAAAGGGACAGACACAAAAACGGAGCGTTTTTGCTCACCCTCAAAAAGTGACAATTTTAAAATGCTATATAAAAATATCTGTGGCGTATTTTGAGCTAAAACTTCACATACACACTCTGGGGACATCGGAGACTTATTTTAATCATTATGAAAAGGGCATTATACCACCCCTTTAAAGGTTTATTTGCACAAAATAAAACATGCAATGCAGTTTAAATACAGAAAGAAACAATGCACATTGTCCAAAAAAATAAACTATTACTGATTCTAAAATTACCCAAAAACATGCATGCATGTTGGTTTCATCATCAGAAGTTTCGCAGTCAGACATGTTGTCAGCGAGTCGCGCTATCAACAGCTGATCGGAACGTGCGCACTGTTGACGTTGACAGCAGCGCGGATTGAAAGAAATGGATAGAAAATAGTGCCGATTAAAACTGAGGTATGAATTTTGTTGAATTTTGCGTGTTTTTTTTTGTGGTAAATTAATCAAGCTTTGAAACGCAAATCATTTTTTCACGTAAAAACGCACAGTTTTGTGGCCCCGGAAAATAACCGGGAGTACTTTATTGAAAAACTTCCAGCGGCCAGAACTCTGATTAGGGAGGTGACAACAGAGTGGGTCAGTGTGTATGCACTATAGTGCTGGTAAGGATTGCATACAACTTCATGTCTTAAATGGGCGAACTAACCCTTTAATGTCGAGCCCTGTACAGTATGGTGCTTCGGTTGAGCTGGTGTTGCAGGGACTGTTACATGTGCAGTCGACATTGTTGAGGGTTTTATGCAGAGTATTTTCGTGTTGTTGACTGGCTTATGCAATGCCCATTTTTGATGCGCCATTATTCAATATTTTTCCCTTCCTGCTGTAATGTTTTTTTCATCTGATCTTTTGTCCCCACCACTTTTCAACACAAACTGACGCCCCTGCCTATTTAGTTTTTCTTAGTTAAACCCGAACTCGACCCGAACCCGAGGCTGTTCATTAAACATTAACCCGAACCCGACCCGAAACCCGCACATTTTTCGGGACCCGTCGGGCTCGGGTCGGGTAGCAGACCTCTAAGTTAGACCCATTTTACTCATTGCATCAGTATAGTGATGTCAGGGATAGGGATGGGACGATTACCGGTTTCACGATAAACCACGATAAAATGTCCTGGCGGTTAGTATTATCGTTTAAAATTTAATTATCATAAAAACCGTGTTTGATTATCGTGATTTTGAAAACTCGCGGTAAATCCTGTCCAGCCAGAATCAGTCTGACGCAGGCGCGCAGATGCAATGTTGTTGTTTTTGCGCGAGAAGACATGGCGGAAGGCAGTGACAGCGCACGGGAGATTTTTCAGCCATCCAAGAGGACAAAATCGGAGGTATGGTCGTATTTTGGCTATTACAAGAGTCCCGAGGGCAATTTAATCGAGGATGGGCACCCTGTCTGCAAATCTTGCAAGAGGAAAGTCGCTGCAAAAGGGGGAAACACGTCAAATCTGCTAAGTCATCTAACGTTACGTGACAACC